ACGTCTCAAACCATCCCAATGTCACGTCTTAAACCATCCCAACTCAAGAAAAAAATGCCATCAACACTTATTAAAAACAGCTCTCCAGACCTTCTTGCCTTAACAGCAACTTCTATTGGTGGAATGTATTCAACTGGACCAAATATCATCCAGCGGTCCCCTGGAGAACGATGATACTTCTCTGAAAGGATAAATATCACAAATCAACACAGTACAGTCATTATATGGGGATTTTTAGAAAACATACATTGAACAACTTCCAGATGGTTTGAAAGGGGTTATCATCATCATGATTTGAAAAGGGTTATCATCATCATCATCATCATCATTGTCATCAGTCCTCTCCCCATCAAGTGGTGCACAGGACATTGACTAGCTTCGTTCCTTTAAATCTTCTTAAAGCCACAATGCCTGCTTCCAGCTAGGTCTAGAGTTCTGAGTTGTTCTCTCTATAGTCCTTTCCCAGAGTGATTTTGGACTGTCTTTTTTCTTTAACTCTCTTGAGTTTAACTCTCCAGAGATCCCTTGTTAAGCGATGCTTCAAAGAAAAGTTATCATCCATGCATACATCTTTAACTATATGTCATTTGTAGCAATCACTCACTCTTTGCATATTCTTCATCAAAATGATCAACTGCTGACAATACCAAGGCTTCATCTGCCTCCAGGATATAAGAATTCAATATTCCACCATCCAAGTCTTCTCCTGGCAATCACAAAATTTATACAAGAATGTGTTATTTAAACAATTCCCCAATGAATTGTTACCTAATATATGACATTCCTTTTAGTGTTTGTTGCCCCTGTAAAATGATCACAGCATGCATTGCCCTTCCTAACTCAATCAGAGCTCCTTTCCTTCTTCACCAATCAACAGTGATTGATAGAATGGTGATAGATAATACCATCAAATGGTTGCTTCACCAATTTCAAATGTGTGCTTTTTAATCTTAAGAATTACCTGGATGTAAGAAAAAAGAGGCCACTCCTTTGCGAAGTTCTTTCTTGCCCAGCTGGTTACGGCCTTTGCTATCAACAGGGTCCATAACAATACAGTATTCTTTACGAGACAATACTGTCTGAGTCACTTCAGCGACAACTTCCTGTTAATTTCAAACAACACATTAAAGAAGTTTCCTTGATGTGCTGTTGTACTTAATTGGTCTTCAGTTTTGATAAAGAAGAATTAACAATTATAACATAGCTCTCATACTACTCAGTTGTCTACTTTACCTCAAACACTTCAGGTATATACATCTCTGTATCCTCAGAGGTGACAAGCCACTCCTCTCCTGCATTTCTAACAAACATATTTCTCACATTTGGTTTTTAGACAGTCTGATTAATAATCTAAAGATCAATGCAAACTTGTACTTTTGCAAAAAGCAACTAAATGATTATTACACAACGACTACAGTTATTAAAATGAGCCATAATTCATTGAGTGAAACCAAGTCTGATATCTTTACAGCTATTCAACACATCACCTTAATTTTACACTTGTCTGATAAAATATAATTCCCAACCTCTTTTTCCCAAGTGCATCAATGCACGTCTGTTTTGCTCTCATGTGCAAGGCTATTGTCTCTGTCAGAGTGTGAGCTTTCTCTACACCCACCACCTGAAGAAGAATGGAATAAGTCATCACTGACAGAAACTTAAATGATGGCAGCAGGGCAGGAGAGGAAAGGAGGGCTACATCAGCCCATTTAATGAAGTTTTGGGGGCAAAGAGCCCCCAATATCCCTACCCTCCATGTTTTAGTGTGCTCACTATTGCTTGCATAGGAGAGAAAAATTTGTTTACTGCAAAATATTAAGTCTCACTTGTTTCATATGGATTGCCCTTAGCAACACAATATAGTGATGGACTTTTTTCAGAAAAAAACTGCCTTCAAATTGGTTGTGGAAATAGAGTAAAGACACACTTAACACTCACCTGTTAAGATTGCAAAAAGGTTTACAAAAAGGTTTGGAAAACTTGTGGGAGGTTATGTGTCTCACTTTGTGTTTACTGACTTTCTACATAGTTTAAACATTGGTCACTAAATGACAAAGGAAATATTTTTCTGGTGTGCAGGCTAACAGGGGCAGTAATATAAATATTATTTTTTTTAGATTATACCTATGCCAATTAGTTAGAGTATCTATCAAAAATGATGATGATGCACAAATTGCATCATAGTTATGGTCCTAATCTGGTGTCCAGTTACTCTTACTAGACAAAGGTTTGTTGGCTACTTACCTCCTCATAGGCCCCAGGCAAATAAGCTCCAAGATCTCTTATTAACCATTGCTCAGATGTAACACGATTCCTACAAAGGAAATGAAGTTAAATGAAGTTAAAACTCATATTCAAGAATGATCAAATTATTACATCATAGAAGGAATTGCTATTATCATATAAAACTTGACTAATATACAGCAAATAAAATTACTTTTGGTAAGTAAATGGATAATATATGTGATTTTGGTATACATGCAGTAAAACAATGGATAGCATTGAAGGCATGCTCTGATTGGGGACTCAAACTGCAAATATCCTTTGTCATCCACCTCAAAGCAACTTGCACGAGATTTGCATCTGAAAATTTTGTAACCATTGCAGGAATAAATCAGGTAAAATCATCTAGTTGTGCTTTATTATCTCAATGTTTCAGTATACACCAAAACAACAATTAACATTAGTGGCTAACAGTGGATATTTATCTTGATGCTTAGCAGCCTGGTAAATATACACCTCCTCTTTAGTGAATAGTTTTTAATACTAAAGTAAATTTTATTCCCTCCATCAAACTAAAAACCAATGAACAATTTGATTAAATTCTCACAGGTCAATTCTATACTGACAATCATAATGCATTTAAGTACAAGCAAGCAAATCTCAAAACCACAACTTACTACCATAGCTATTCCAGTTCAGTTTCTTGATACCAAATTGGTTTTCCTTGAGAAAATTTCTCTTGTTTATGTTTACCTGAGTTCTACAGTTACTAACTATATAAAAATAGTAACCAAGGTTTGCTTTGTTTACTCTGAATTAATTCATTTAACTCACTTTCCTGTCTTATCCACTAATCCCTGACTGGCCTTCAGCCGCAAGGCTTCTCCATGTTTGATGATACAAGGTCTTACTCTTTTTTCAATTTTCTGCAGGAAATAACAGCCGTTTCTGATGTTAAATAGACTGAAGGAAAGTCACCCATAACAAAGCTGTTTTCATAGATAAAGGTTAAAATAAATTCCTTACAAATAAGTTGTTTCATTTAATATTAACGTACTGCATATGGTGTTGGTCTGTAAGTCAGAGGTCCCTCCAGCTGCCACATATCTCCTGCCTTTCGCTCCTCTTCACCATCTATGTGATCTACAATGGCTTTTAACTGAAGACCTTCATTGGGTCCAATAACTGGGAGAGCCTTGATTCCAGACTTACCACCTGTGCAATCAAATTAGAAAAGGTAACTAATTTTTAATCAAGGATTGTTTGCCTCAGAGGAATCACCTGTCCTAGCACCTCTGTACAATTGTACTCCAAAGATATCACAAAGTACTGTCCATAATGTAATTTAACATACACATTAATATGAATCTTAATCAACAAACTGGACACCTACCAGACATTTTTCTTGCTCCTTCAATGGCTTCACCAGGATAAAGAGGGAATGGTTCCTAAACGATAAAAACCACAAAGTAAAATTACAGGCTTCTTTGATACCCAAATGCATTAAATCATAAAGAAAAATATGAAGAGTCATCATTTGTAACAGAAACTATTTAAACCTTGAAAAATCTCATTTCTCTGTGCCCATGGTTCAAGTCACACTGTTTTCCTGGTTCACAAGGCTGTCTAAAATGTGCAAGAGAAAATGCAGTTATGGTTTGAGATCACAAATATTCAGGGAGATAACTGTAGAAATAACACAAAAATATTTTTTTTTAGGACTCACTTGACTGGGTTTTGTATGACACAGTAATGACCTGGTGGAATGACAACAAATGGCAAAGGACCAGCCACTAATTGGTGATTATCCTGTAGAATCAAACTCTTTGGACCCACTTCCAGTACAGTCACATTAGTGTTCTAAAAATAGCAAAAGGACTCATAGGATGAAGAAAGCCAACTGACTATGTAACTAGTTACTTTCATATCTGTCTTAGTTTGATTTCATTCTCGGTTCACTTGTTGTTATCAACTTCAGCAGGGTTACACCCCCAGGTGTGACGTCCAACACTATTGACGTCACGAAAACTGTTTCACTTTCCCAGGTGAGAAGAAAGAAGAAGAAGAAGAACATTTTAAAAACAATACGAAGAAAAATATACTTAGTTCAGAAGATATTTGGTAGAGCTAATGCATTCAATATCTAGGAGCATTTAACGTTCAAATCCCCATGGAAAAGTGGAATTGGTAACTTTAACTGATAAGCTACGTAAAATTAAGCGAAATTGAAACTTTTCAAAATTTCAGAACATACATTTCGATTTTTGTCGAAATATTGTGCTCTTTTGCCCTTAATAGCTGCATCAACTGGCAAAACGGAGAGATTGACAGAATTAAAATGTCACTACTTAGATAAAAACCATTTGGAATCATCGACGATTAGCAGCTGAACATTTTAGAACTTACAAACTCCCTGATGAATTCCTCCCCATAGAAGAACAGTTAGGAGCGAGTCATTGAGCAAATAATCCAAATGCATAACTACGATGTACCTACCAGATCTAGAAGATGAATATATTGCATAGGCTGAATCCGGACAATATTACTCATTATTCTCCTCTTGAATCGATGTAATTAAGAGAGATCACCACAACCCGTCCGACTTGTGCAGAGAAAACGAATGTTATGCAAATCTTATAGAAAGTTGTTATTTCCAGTCTCTCATCGTCTTCTCTGGGGTCCGCCACGGTTACTCCATATTTGGAGTGTTTGTTCCAAATATGGCATTGTATAGAACTCCCGCTAAAGTCCAAAATTGATACTTCGCGTTGCATTACCCTAGAGGTATATTGCTGGAACTCGAGTTCCGTTTTGGAATTTAGTTTACATTGAAATGCTAAGCACTGGAGAACTACTTAGATAAAATACAGTGATCAGGATCTTCTTTGCTGCCTCTTAAAAGCATATTCCAAGACGATGATGGTGGAAAACGAATGGTGGAAATCGCAGCTCGCTCTGGAAATACACGACGTTCTCCGAGAGAAAGAAACCAGATTGCCACCTTTTACTTCATCTTCACCTCAGTTAAAACTCAGGCGTTTTCTTGTTGATTGGCTTGCTGTATTCTCCGAGAGGATTAAAAGTTCTCATGGTGTGCTTCATTTAGCTGTGTATTATATGGACCTCTTTATGGATAAATTTGACATAGATGAACGCAAACTTTATCTTGTTGCGTTATCATGTTTGCTGCTGGCAGGTAAGTGTTATACTCCAGGTGCCTGCTTAAGGTAAGACTCCAGCACTCCTTTCTAGCATTTAGAAGAAACGGTCATCGGAAATAAATTGTTACATGTCGTATTGTGATGCTATAATATGTAAATATATCCAAGTTTGATAAAGTTGATCGTGATTTCCAAAAAAAATTATTGAGCTTACGTACCTTACTGAGAGAAATTGTTTTGTTGCTTCATAGATCACAATAAGAAAAGAAAAACTTTGAGTCATATAGTCATAGATTTAATTAATCATTTTGATGCCATGTAAACCAACTTCTGTGAAGATCTTACGAACGGAACCCTCTGAACCTTCGAACAAAGCGCGCCTTTCGACCTAATTAACATTGTTCAATAAGGTATTCGTTTTTCCCCTTGGGGGAATTTTTCTCCGAATTACAAAATGTTTTTAGGCATCTATTTTTTTTTCTCGTTGGCAGAGATTTTATTGGCAAACTTATTATCGCTTTTTAATAAAATGACATTAAGTTGCTATAAGAAGCAGATAAGATTTAACACTTCGACCATTTTAGCCAAACGAATTCAGAAAATTCCAACAAAAATCTCAATTTAACTTTGGTAGAGGTGTTTTCTAGTGCTTTCCACCCGGAAAAATGATGTATTTTAAAGTTTTGACCATGCGTTCTTTTTTATTTTTAACAGCAAAGTTTGAAGAAAATGAGGACAAGATACCAACCATATCAACACTGAATGCCTACGTTCATAACCTGTTCAGTGCACCAGAATTTCATCAGATGGAACTCCTGCTACTGAATTTTTTCTCATGGAACTTAGATTTACCTACACCTGTACACTTCATGGAATACTACTTGATTCATGCAATTTCAGCAACAGACTGTCAGTCTGGTGGAAGAAGTCTTGAGGATAACACCAAGCCAATGGCTTATACCAGGAAATATGTGCATTATTTCCTGGAAATTGCTTTGCAGGGTAAGATATAATTTCAAAAAAATATTTGGACTAACCCTCAACCCTTTAAACCTTTTGAGTGACCAGCATAAAGTTTCTCCCTACAGCAATACTGCTGAATCATTGATTACAAGCATGATAATAGAGGAAATGGTCACCAACCTAAGAAGCTTGGATTAATAAACAAATTTTCCTTGTTAGATCCAGATGAAATTTAAAGAGAAGAGTAAGGAGAATGTGGGTACTGATGTTAGGATGCAAGGAGTTATAGGTTGTCTTCACACTTAATGCATCTCACATCCCTTGGTCCCACAAGTTCAAAATTTGGCATATTGAAAACTTCCTAGTTGACAAAATGTGAGCTTATCATAACACTTCGCCCAAACATTAAACCATTCCAAAATGGAACAAAAACAAACAAGCAAATAAAGTGTGTCCTTCCATGGGTTTAGGTCCCACTTATATGGCTACATTTGTATATCATGACAGTGGAGGGGATTTTCCAGTGAGGTACAGTAAGGAAGTATTACTAATTTATAGATTTAGCCAAGCCTAAAAGCGGAGCTCACAATTTTTTTCCCCACACAACTTGTCCCAGCCAGGACTAGAACCCAGGTTGTCCAACTCGGAGCCCAGTGCAAACCACTGGACTTAACTGAGCAAAGCCATGGCATTGGCGTGCCCATGGTATAGTTGACCACGCATGTCAAAAGTAGCACCTTGTACGGTTGTACAACCAAATTTTTTCAGCTTGATGGGTTACTACTATTTTGTATAATTATGGGGCTACGCTCTGCGAGCTCCGCTATTATTTGCCTAACTATTTCCACTGTTCTTCACTTTAGATCATTCATTCCTAGCATTTCCTCCCTCGGTGATAACATCAGCAGCAGTAGCTGCATCACGACTGAGGCTTCACCTCTGCCCATCCTGGACACCCCTACTGATCAAGGTTACATCCTACACATGGGAGCAGATCGCACCCTGTGTGCACATTATGTTAAGGTACTGGAATACATAGACTTCAGATTTAAAAAGAATGGCAATATCTATTACAATTTAAAGGTGGTACTTCAATCCTTTAGCTTGGTGAAAGGAAAGAGTAATCTGATTTTGTATCTTAGTAAAAGAAAAAAAAGAAATTTAATTCATTTTGAATTAACAAGGCAGCTAAGTAGCTAATGTCTTCAAGAAATAATTAATTCAAACAAATTGTAAATAAACATTGTAAACAAACATAAACAAAATATTCAAGATTCCCAATTGGTTGGAAGCAGTCCAGTTGGCTATATACAAATTGCAGCAAAGGAGTTGAACTTGAGGCAACCAAGAACAAATCCAGTGAAAGACAGGGTAGAGGGCTTGAACCAAGGACCACTTGATTACAAGAACAGTGCCCCAACCACTTAGCCACCCTGCCTCCCCAAACATATTGACACATTGTATTGTTTCTGACTTTAGAGCACATGATGCAGATGAGAAAGCAATGTCACAACAGAAAGCAGTTAATGCCAAAGGATGAAAAATCTTCATTTCCTGGAAAGAATAACAAGCTGGACACACATAAATGTATCTCAGGATTCATATAAAAAACAAGCCACTGGTCTGAAATATAAATTGCTAAAAATATCAGCTGCAATAAAAACCCCTTTCAGTCCACTTGGTAAATGAAAACTGGCCAGCAAGAATGAAACAAAATTGCTTCAAGTGACAGTCAGTAATTAATGATTTTGATAAGAATTTGACAAGGCAATAAACTTTTCTATGTCCAAAGCTTCTCGAAGTTCATAGGAGTTCATAGGAGAGCTTGCCTCTGCCTTGTTTAAAACCTTTGTATCAGACTTGCAGGCTCATTTAAAAGTTCAATACTTTTCAATGCCAAGTTCAAAGTGCATTGTTTCCAACATGTATGAAAGTACTTGAACCTCTAATAATATCAATTCTATAAAAATATTGCTGGCTTCCACAGGGTGTGAATAAACTATTTCCATACTATCATTCAATCTGTACTTTTTATATTCTAGTCTAAGACAATTTTTTCTCTATTAAATAATTAGAAGTAAGCTGAAATTCCAAAAACAGAGTACAATGGTAATATTTAATGGAATATGTAAGGTAAAAAAACTGACTCAGAATTCAGTTTACACTTTGATTGTCACTCAATTTTTTTTTTATTTTAATTTGAAAACTACATGGTCTTGCAGATGAAAAGTAATTTTAAGTAGAAATGGTTGTGAACCATATAGAAACTGAAGGCCCAGTAACTTTGCAAGAAACAAATATGATTTTACAATACAGTCCTTACTTTTGGTCCTAGGTTGTACATGCTCTAAGGGCCTGAGAAACTCACACAACCTTTATAATTTTGCTTTTACCAACAAAGTTGTTTATTTTCCACATAGCTGAACACAAAATCAACTTCCAAATGCTAAATCACTCCACAAGCAAAGTTCACATGTTCCTGCAGATCAGCAGGTTATTGGCTAATCTCTTAAAAAGTTCAGATACTCTAGTCTAGTATGAAATTAATTGTGATCTGAAGATAAGCCAACTAGAATCATTACTGACACTGTCCTTCTAGTCTAAATTGTGAGAAAATTAGAGTGATTTACAGTCAAGTATGATTTTATGTCAGTGATGTATAAATAAGTACATGTAAGTATAAGTACAATAAGAATATATATATATTTCACTTCTGTGGATAAATAAGAGTTCCTTCATTCACCAGTTCAAATAAGGCTATCTGAGTGCATTTAAAATAATGAAGCATCAGAAAATCAACTGAGAGCTTAAACTTATTAACATAAAAGCAGCTACATGTAGCTTCAAATACAGAAAAATTATGCTTATCCATATGTGCTGTACCTATATTTGAATTATATCTTGAGTACTTACTGTAAACAATTCTCAAGATTGATGCAACAAAATACCCATAAATAATGGTTATAGAAAAATACTACTGTACAATTTTTCATTTCATGGGAATTACAAAATACTTAACATTTTGTAGGCTTCATAGACGATCATCAAATATTATTTCTCTCTTTTGGCATGTTCTTTGACAACCTGCCATTAAATTAAGACTTAACATTGCTCAAAACTTTAAGGAATCCTTCGATAACCAGCTGTTGAAGATGGCCTGCATCTGAGCCCTTTTTTCTGCGGAATGGACATTAACAGTAGGAATGATCCTCTTTGGCTGAAGAAACTTAACAAATCTCTCCAGTTCCCTGAAGCTGCTATGCTCACTATAAGGAACACCTAAGCATAAAGACGAAGAAAACAACAATATAACAAACCCTAGGAACTACATCATTGTCAGTAATGAAAAAAACTGACTTTAGGAGAGGAGTGAAGTTGGGTGGAAAAAACAAGATGGGCTGAGTAAGTTAAATCTAGCATATCACTGTACTTACCATATATTGTCACATTTCCTCTCTTGGAAGGTTTAATCATCGACAAGTCCTCTCGCTTTTCACTGTGTTCCCACCCAGTGGGTTTAAATGCCAGGAGTTCAGCATACTGTGACTTATGAGCCCCCAAATATGTTGTTAGATTCTATCAATAAATAAAATTGATGATGAAAATATGCTTTGAAATTATATTCCATCTTAAACATCTTTCTATATGTATCTTATTTTAATTTGAATACTTTGCAACTGATAAAACCTCAGCAGAGACATCTAAAAAAATATCTGGAGTTCAGAATTTGTTTCACTCATAACATCAAATTCTCCTTACTGTCTGTGACACAATTCTTATAATATCAGCTCTGAAAATTGGGTATTGGATCAACTAATAATCCCCTGATTAATACTTTTCTTTACCCTCATAACTAGTGTACTTGATATTGTATTGATATTGTAAGGAGAAATTCAGTCTTCATCAGTCATGGGAGTCAAAGGGTTAACTGAATACATGTTCTGTTTTCCACCATAATAATAAATTTCAAGTTGCTTTATCTTAGCCATGAAAGTGAAAAATACAATTTCAGCACTAAAAATTCATCTTTTACCTGCAGTGTTAGCTTTGCCATTGGCAACACATGAATTCTTCCCGCCTTCCAGTCAGTTGTGATCAGAGAATTTATTTGATTGGATTCAAGACAGTCCAGAACCTTTTTCTTTTGTTTTTCTACACAAACTTTACATCCAAGTGCTTCTGCAATGGCTTAACATAAACACAAAACAATATCAACAAACAGTTCCCATTTAATTATTGGTGCCTATGATAGTTAAGCAACAAAATTGAATTCAATCTTATTAAAAAGTGACTTTATCACACAAAGCCTTCATATTTGCTGAAATTGTAGAATCGCAGTCTCCTGTGTCTGAATTAAGAATTCTCTCCTCTATACCATCTCACAAAAATATATTAAACTGAGATTTTAAAAGTCCTCACCAAGAAAGACACGTTCTTTCCCAATTGTATATGAGCCACAAACTATCAGTGTCTTTGGGTTTTGTTTGCATGCTTGCACAGCTTTTGAAACAGCAAAGTTGATGGTTTCCTCTTGAGGAGGAAAGGAGTAATTTGGATCACAGTACCTGAAATGTTTTTAAAAAAACAAGTTGTAAATACTGAAGATTATTCAGTAATTACATAACAGATCGAAAAAACATGTCAGTGTAGATGTACTTACGTGGTGTCAAGGTACAGGACATCAATCTTACAATGTAACTCTGGATACCTTTCCATTTCAGGAGAGGCTCGAAAGTCACCTTAAAAATAAATTAAGTAATACTTTAAAATGTACTTGAGGAAACTTCCGCAGGTAATGTTGTCACAAGGGATGTAGAAAGTGATACTTTGATTGTAAACTGACATTCTTTAGCTGGGATGTCATGGACTGTTCAGGGTCACATTCAAGACATGACATTGTTCATCAATTGGTTGGTTATGTCATGAGAGCAATCACCAAGCATGCTGCTTTGTACGTGGTACATAAATGACAGCATGATGAAAAGCTACAATCTTTGTAAATCTTACAGTAGAATAATTGCATTTTTGAATACTTACATATCACATGTGGCAAAAGTATCTTAATTAAATATCAACCAAAATGAAGCTAAACCTGTGTGTAAGTAAGTCTGGCCAGAAGAGAACTGGAACACAAACAATACAGCTCCAGGGCAACTGAAAAAAAAAAGTTCAATGAAAAATATAGGCCATGTTTTGCTGAGAATGCCACTCAAAACAGATTTTATCCTTCTATCTAAGTCATTATGAGTCATTATTTTAATTACTAAACATATTTCACTTAAAGTAATTTTATTAATTTTAAAGTGATAAGTAACAAACTTAGTAGTCCCTACTGGTTTGCCTCCAGAAGTGTAACTTGAACATTTTCCACAATGGTTGGTGCATTCATGGGAAGTGGATGGACAAACTCTTTTTTAACACACAGCTTGGATATCACCAGATTTGCAGTGATCTTAACAAAAAAATTATAAGTGAGCACTAATTCTTCAATCAATTACTGGCTGTTTTTATCAAATAATATACCATAGTGGAGTTATATTACCCAATTATGATTGTCTTCTCTAATTGTCTGAGTGAGACCAATTCTGAGAGAAATTTTTTATTGACAGTTCAAAAATATGAGCATATGTCTTTTCTAGAATCAAGTGAAGAGTTGTTTGTCAGTTAAGGCTTTGGAGGTTTGGTATGTGAAAACCGATTGGTCAGTTCTGCCGTTGTTCATCTGGTTGTCAGAGCCAAACAGTGTCAGTCAGTTTCAAACTATCAGCAAAGTTGTGTTGATGTTCTAAATAAGAGGTTTATAAGGTGCAGGTAATTGTTAACATCTGTCAAAAAGGAATCTGTTCTAAGTTAATAAACCAGCTTTCCAAAATCTTTCACAAATCTGATCACCATGCATGACAAGGCTTGTAGCAATGAGATACATAAAAACAGAACCCAACTATAATATTATCCTTACTATTATTAAGGATATACTCTCCCACCGATGCAGCACCACAGTTTCTTTAGAAACTTAACCCCTTTATATTTCATTTGAACATCAAGAAGTTATCATTTCTGATCGAGTAACCTCAGGATTAGGGTGCCCTCCCACATCAAATATTAATAAACCCTACAGTCTATTACCTTGCTACAATAGATTGGATTTTTGAATTTCCCATTCAGTCCCATATAGTGATCATAATGAAAATGGCTCAAAAAATAAGCATGACAGCCAGGAATGTTGCCATAGCGAAAAGCATCAACAGTAAAGGCACTGTTAGGGATCTTCTTGTAGAATGGACAACTGCGTTGAGTCTGGGTTCTATTACTACCAGCTAGACCTTCACTTTGACTTGAACTTTGACCTTCAGTTGTAAATTCTGTGTTTTTACGATCATTGTTGAATGTTTTTCTTGTTGCCCAGTGACCCTGTCTTTGGGATGCAGACTGTGATTGTGAAGAGTTTGTTATTCTGGCACCATTCTGAGAAGTTGTTATATTTTTTGCTGGCTTCTTCAGTGGTTTCAAGCCAAAGAACACTCCTATATCAGTTTGTTTCAGAGATGTCTTTGATTTAGAGGCTTCCTTCCCTTTTCTGACAAATGCCAAAATTGACTGTTGTTTCTGGCCTATACTTGAGTGCTCACCCAGATTATCTTCTTTGACATTAATTTTCTTTACATCCAAAGGATGTGGACTTGGTGTAAAATTTACCTCAGCCTCATTTGTATGTTCACTTGTTTTACTCTTTTTCTCCACAACTGAAGCAACAGGTTGGATAAAACACTGCTTGGGCTTATCATACACATCAACACATTCAAGACTGTGATAACTCTGTTGGTCTTTTGTTAACTGATCTGCTGCATAAGAACTTTCACACAAATTTTCCAAGACTTCAAGATCTCCAAACAGATCATCATCAGAGGACATTTGAAAATCTCCTGTCTCAACTTTGGTCATTGAAGCCTCACTTTGTAGAGGCAAAGAATGAGATTTGCTAGATTCTCCAAGGTTTGAATGTTGTGGTGAACTATGAATATTGCATAGTAATTCCTTTGATGTTTTATTTTCATCTAATTGTACTGCTTCTATTGCTCCATTTGCTCTACCATAAGGTAAACCTACTGTAGCACCAGGGCTCCCAGAAGATTCACACTCATCTTCATCTTTATGGAGTGATTCAGACAAAAATGGTTTTTCTGAAAAGTTCAATTGTCTTGAAGACTTGATTGCTCTTTCATGCTTTTGTTAAGGAAAGAATAAAAGTTAGTTCCAATTAGTGTCAACACCAATTCATGAGAAAGTCTGATAGTAAGAGTTTTCATGCCTTAGATATGGTTTTAAACTTACCAAAATTATTTCAGATTCCTTACTAAGTTTATGCCACAGGAAAAGAAATGATTTAGAGTTAAAAGGTCTTTACAGTATGTCAAACTCTTACTTGTTTGTGCATCAGATTATCTATGTTTCCATTACTTTCTCCTTCATCTCCTCTGTATATGTGACCATAACTCCTGACAGAAGCCAAAAGCTTGTGAGAGTATCTTTCATAATGAGGAGAAAATGTTGATCTGCAGTGGACACCTTCAGGACAATCACCTAACAAAAAAGAAAGGTTCTGTTTTGTATTGATTCAGTTGTTTACGTATCGGATTTGTTTATCTGAATCAGTGAATAAGTTTTCCTATCCTTGCAGTCAAATGGTCCCACAAGGAAATTTTACCTGATGCAAATCCACGTATGTCCTGAGGTTCTGCATAGAGCAAAGTTAACAAGTAAATTTACACATACTTCTGGCTGGGCTGACTTACAGAGGGTATAACTGTTTAAACAGCAGTGAAATATTAATGACATTGTTCTAACTAAATCTACTAAGCTAAGTACGCTTTAATTACCTATGAAAGAATATTTCCTTCCCAAGCAATCGCTGACGTGCCACCCAGGAGATTCTCCAACCAATGCAACGAAAGGCATCTGGCATCTAGGGCAGTACCCATCTACGATGCTCTTTTGAGGTGTGATCTTGTTGTCAACCACAGCTGAGTCAACTTGGCTTCCAGATAATTGGTGACTGAAGGTTGAGTCCTCATCATTCAATTCCTTGCAACTACTGGAGGAATCTTCTCTCTTGCGTTTTAGTTTCCTCCCACTGTTCTTTATGATTGTCTGAGAATTATCCGTCTTTGTTTTCTGTGAGACTTGCAAACGACACCGTCGTTGAGGTTTGTTCAAATTATTGGCAGTGCGCTTTGATTTTGGGCTTTTGCGCGGTAAATTCGTTGGTTTTTCATTTCTGCGTGCCGACTGTCCACGCTTTCTTTCAAGCTGCTTTAAGGATTTTTCATCCCAGATATCATCTTCCTCCACCTCTCCATCCATGCCGTACAAAGGTGATATATTATGTATATTACAGCGAATAATCTGCGCTGAGTTAAAACCGTCAAAATCGCTCCGCGTCCACCATATTTAATTCATTTGAAACACTACGTGTACGATACTTACACATAATGTTCTCCATGACGATAACCGCTGGATAGAGCATTGTTGCAGTGATCAACAGATTACTTCACCTCTTGCAATCTTAAAGCAAGAGAAGAGTTAATCAATTTCAAACGGACAGTGACCGTTTTGTACATCCCAAATCTTTCAAATTAGGTTAAGAATGAGCATGCAAACTTTAGAAAGATTTAGCCTCGAGAGTATCGCGAAAGATATGAGCCTGTGGTGCAACGCATCGATCGCAGATCTTAATCGGTTCAAGTATGTTCTTGGTCCGTTTGATGGCTTGAGTGAGTTTAACTGCGTACATGTACTTTGAACTATTTTAAACGGTTTTGTAACCCAGCACTTATAATTATTTTAGTTGTTTTGAGGTAACATGCACGGTAATGACTTGGGCCATACTCTGTTTGTGGTCGAGAGTCAACTGGGGTTCTTGAGGAATGGGGCGAGGAAGGTGGAGTAACTGCATGAATCTCTCGTGTCTTTTTCCTAGATTCTTATGGCATGAATTAAGTAGTGAGTCAGACTAGCTGGATTTGAAACTTGGAATATAAATGATAAATTGTTGAACTGTGATATTTATGAATGAGGGCCTGAAGCCTTCCCTAGCTTTAAAGGAAGATTTTTGGTTATCCAAACATTTACTTGATATGTTGTTGTTATTTTGTAGACTCTGGCCTTATTCAAGAACTTTTGAATATTTTGAGTCAAAAGAAGCAAATTAAAGTGTGTCACCTTCATGTTCTTCTCCACTCTAATGTTAAGCATGTGGATTTGAGTGTCTGTTCCTCACTCATCAATGATCAGATCATTTCTGCTGTGGGATTTCGTTGTAAGGTTTGTATTGTTTAGTTATCAGAGAAAACATGATGATTGTTATTAGGATATAACAGCTTCATAAAGTAAATTTTACTGGTCAATAAATCCTAAATCCTCTATTAAAAGGTTTATAAGCATAATGACTCATTCTTCTTTATAAAGAATATAAAGCACATGATGCTCTTGACGCTTATTGATCATAGCAGTATGCAGGATGGATGTCATACACAAACACAGTTTTTGACCTTACTTTTCCAAATTTACAGTAACTGGATGAAGCCTTAGTTTTAAAGGAAAACAGTTGAAATTATCTAGGACTTCAGGAAATTTCTTCAACATACCTTTGTGAAAACTGAGCTAAAATGTTCCTTTTTTGAAAAGAAATTGTTTGTTAAGTCAAGACAATGCTCTTAGGAAGGTGTGCTAAGCCATCTTAGGGTACTTTCATTAGTGATTCTTTGAATTAAGGACTAGAATTATCTACAGATTTTATTGTCTCTCTTCAGAAAATTACACAGCTCTGTCTGAAGAACTGTTCACGCCTCTCAGCAAAAGCATTGAAAGAGATTCCTTCAGACTTACCACGTCTTCAGTCCATTGATCTCAGTGGATGTTTGGCTTGTACAGATGAAGTGTTAAACTTACTTGGAACATCATGTCCTGAGCTGACAGTATTGCGGGTGGAGTCATGCACCCTTCTCACAGATGCTGGTATAGATGGTTTGTGTGGAGATGATAAAAATCCAAAGTGCCAGAGGTTAAAAGAAGTCAACTTGTCATCAACTGGCGTAACCAGCTATGGAATACAAAAACTATTGAACTCTCAACAAGAAATACAAAAGGTGTCTTTTGCAATGACAAACTCAGTTGATGAATTTGACATAAGTGCTCCAAGCCTAAAACTTATTTCTTTGGATTTGTCGTGCACATTTATCACAGATACATGCATGAAAGTTCTCTGCAAGAGGTGCCCCTTATTATGTGAGCTATCACTTAACTGCTGTACTTCACTCACAGCAATGTCTTTAGAGTTCATTGCTTCACTAACCCATCTGAAGGTTCTGCACATTGGTGATAACAAGGCAATGAAATTTCATCCCCATATTGCACAATTCTTGGTCAAAGCTGGAAATTCGTTGATTGTGCTGGATATTTCTGGAATGGATAGAGTGGATACTGAGATCATTGGGGTCTGCTGCAGGTCCTTACAAACTTTAAATATGGCAGACTGCACTGAAGTAACTGGCAGTTACATACGTGTTTCAACTTCAGAGGAAAGCAAATGGATAACCTTGACACAAGCTTGCCCAAAGTTGTCTATTCTTAACCTCCATGGCTGTCATTTTTCGCATCACAAATCACTCGCAGAACATCTCTTAGCCATTTTCTCCAAGTCAACAGAATTACAAGAGCTAGATTTATCTGGAATTGAAAAACTGAGTGACGGAATCATTTTACAGTTTATACAGTCATCAGGTTTATCACTTTTGAGGTCTGTTAATCTTTCAATGTGCAGTAAAATATCAGTAGAGTCAGCAGAATTGCTTGTTAAAACATGCAAAGGCCTCTCTCAGTTGAATCTTTCACATTGTAAGAATATTTCTTTGCGTGATGCTGAGAATTTAAAGAAGGTAGTTAGAGACGCTAAAAGTACAGCAAAGATTGCCTGGATATAACGTTCATATATAAGTTTTATCATCGTAACATTGTGCTACAAATTTTTTTTTCGAAATTTTTTTTTAAATTCTTACTCAGAAGTCTTTTGACACTTTGGAAAAAATTAAAAGAATCTGCCGATTTTATTTTGTAGTCAAAAACTGTTAGAGTTTATCGCAAAAAGGAAAGAAAAAGGAAACGATAAAGTCGATTTCAGGCACAATTTTATCCTCCACACCTGGCCAAGAGGGTTTACTTTGCATATTAATGTTAAAATCACAAAGATGAGACGAAAATCGCGCGCTAGATGGTTTGGCGAGTCAATTGCGCATGGAAAATATTATGAACTGAGCAAGACACCGTTAAGTTGTTGTTTCGCTTCGTTCGTCTTACAAGAAGAAGAAATTGTAATTTTTGAAATGAAAGATGATATTGAAGCTAAACTTTGATGTATGGTGCCATCTGAACCTGACAACTGCTAAGGGGCCCGTGCAATATCATCTGCAATTTGCATTCGATATTTCACCAGAAGATCCCATTTCAGACACCGTGTCGATGAATACAGTTTCTGTACAACTTAAGAGATCCACATACTTTTATTAGTGGCTTACATAATCAAACCTTATAAAATTTAGTTATGCCGAAATTTAGACGAAAATAAGGTGATTTACAATGATCGGAGAAAACTTTGCAAGCCAAGACCGCAAAACGTGCGAAATAACGCTGTCAATTTCCAGAATGTGCTGATGCCTTCAATGTGGGTAATAACGTTATTACTATTCACAACTAAAACGGGTAGCTGTCTACAGAGACATTTGCCGAAATGACTTCAGGCGAATTGTTACTTCGGCGTATTTTTGCCCAATTGTTAGGAACCGTAATAACCAAAGACGTTTACTAAACATAACTTGTCTAAATATTTGATGTGTCAAGTCGTTGCTTCTCAAAATAATATTGATTCGATTAGAAAGGTGAGTTATCCGCCAAGCCAACACAAAACATAAGGACCTGTCACAGATACTTGACAGAGTGACATTCATTCGGAATGGGTTTGCATAAGCAACATGATATATCTACCATCTGCGTGGTTCTTTATTGACATATTAATATATAAACTCGGTGATGAATTTTAACTTGGGAAAATTAATGACATCAGTTTAGTTTCGGTATTAGAGAACCTTTCGTGGAGCAAGGTTGAACAGTTGTAGAGAACAGAGGTGAGTATAGGCATTGAATTGTTCATGTCTCTCTATACTCCATGTTATATTTTTCATTCTAAGGTCATTTTTTTTGTCATTTGTTCCTTTTCCTCCTTTTGTCGCCGAAGTGACATGTTGACAAGCTTTTATTCATTATATTTTTTGAGGAAAGAGTAAGTAAACCTGAAGGACAAACTTATAATCAGCAGTTTTATAAAAAGTATGTCTTCTTGATTATGATTCTTTAATATTTCCGGGTGATATAGTGTGAGATCCAGCAAGAAGCAGATTTCTGTTTTTTCACCTATTCTGGTCAACACACCCTCCAGTCTTACGTTTATTAATCATACATTTCTCCGCTCCGATTAACAAGAGTTCCATTATTTTATCGGGGAAACCACGTTACACAATATCCATTTGTGTTTCCTCAGGTCTCAATAGGTATAACTTTTTTTTCTCTTACGCTCCTCAGAGCTTATGAATTTTAATTAAATGACGAATGGTGTTTCGTGTTATTGCCTGTGTTAAACAGAGATGGCTGTCAGATGTTTTAATATGAAAAAAAGAAAAGTGACAGAAAGAATAAGTCAACTTTAATTTATTTCGTGAGGCAGGAGAAGGAAGGGAAATAAATAGAAAAGCTAAACCTTTTAATTTAATCATCCATACTGAGTGCAATGTGCTGGTAACCCTTAGTGGTCTTCGCTAACGACCGGTTCGCCAACACCTTAGGTCGTACCGCTAACTTCCGGTTTACGGCCAACCTACTGCTTGGAGTTCTGGGAAACAAAATGGCGTTCGAACATTACCAGCGGGATGAATGCGTCGAAGGTAAAACGAATTGATTGGTAGATACTTGAGCGTAAGAAGTTAGCGAACTTGGACGACCTAAAACGTTACCGAACTGGCCGTTTGCAAAACCAACTGCTTGTTTCTTTTCGGCCTCTTAACGTAAACAACTGTGATGAACAATCCGTGATGTTGATGTGGAGATTTTTGAAAGGTCAGTGAATTGCGAAAGAAACTGGTGATATGGACCAACGATGATCCGTTCTTAGGTTTATCTTTAAGTTTGTTTGATATTCAAGGATGTGTAAAAATAAAGAAGTGATAAATTTGCTCAGGTAATTATATTTTTTTCGGTGGACATTTTGAAAAAAATAGGGTAGTGCTAGTGAAGACAGTTTAAAATGTCAAATGGAAAAAAGTGAAGTGCTCGTCATGATCACGTGAAATTTGTAATTTGTGCGACGAGTTATCGCCACAGCTTATGATGGAATCAGGTTAGGTTGTGTTATTATTATTATAATTTTTTGTTAAATTTTCTTTCACCTTCGGGGCGTACTCACTTTTGTAAATGTTAGGACGCAAAGTTTTGTGTCTTTTGACAGACTCCTGGTTTTAACTTGGGTCAGATCTGACTATTTGAGTCTTAGATCGGGAAAAGTTTTGTATACTCATCGTAACTTGGTTCTTGGATCTGTTATTTTTTTATTTTTTTATTTTTTAGGTAAAATTGTGCCTATTTTTATATTATTTATACAACTGGTTTAAAAAACCATGAGAAAATTATCTTTTTTTTTGAGAAAAGGTAAGAGTTTCAATATTCATGACGGACGTTCTACTTACCCCCCCCCCCCGAATTTTTTGAGAGTATTCCCCTGAGGAGTGCTAGTCCTGTATGCGTGTTTCTAGAAATTGAAAATTGCGGCAAAAAGCGTGCTATTTATATAAGTGCCTCAATATATCGCCTCAGTGTTGAAGTAAAGTGCCAGCTTGTGGGGGCATCATAATGTCGAACATCATGTCGTACTCGGCTAGCTAAAAGCCATAACCTAAAATGGATAATAATTAACAGACGGTTTATCAGTCAGTAGTTAACAATCAAGACTCATAGAAAAATGGCAAAGATATATTTGTTTTTTTCACATTTCCGTTTAATGTTCAGCTCGCCTCCCACTCACTCATCTCGCGGAAAATTCAATATCGCTTTGGGCGGCGGTCATGTTTCATTAACAACTGAATTAGGTCAAAGTTCCTTGTTGACTTCGTTGAAATCACCGGTGCAGACTGTCGACGATTTGGATACAAAAAGAGAGCGTCCTTTAAACAACTCAGACAACAATTTTCAAACTGGCTGGCATTATTTGGGTAAGTTGTGGTTTAAGAATTGGCATCAGTACTGACAGAATTAAGACCGATGTTCGTATTTCGATGATGTTCACCGTTAAGTTGCAAAGGTACAGAAACCGGAATTTACTAGAACTTGGGATCCGAGTGTCTTTATTCACTTATGTTCTGAAATATGACAAGTATCCAAACAAAAGAGTATAAACATAATTGTCGACGTTAGATAAAACGAGGGAAGAAATAAAAGTTTTGTGAAAGAGATCTTAACGATGAAAAATGATGTAAACGTTACATACAGTCACGTTCTCTCTTCCGTACTGCTACGGATATCTGTTTGTGTGATGAACTGAACAATTGAATCCTTCTCGAAAACCAAAGGTCGTCCGCTAATCTCAGTCACACATGATCCGGATTTTAAATCTAAAAGTTGTACAACAATATTTTGTTTTCATCGACAACAACTCAGACAATTTTTTTATTTTCACGGTCAGTAGCTACGATAATTATTTTTTCCGAACAAATATGCTAGGTCCATTGGACTTTTACTACCTGCATTCAGTAGCTGACATAGGCTAAGAGCGCCTGTTCAGATCAGCAGCACTGCTTGATATTGCGGTCCGATAAGTCTGATCTCATCTTAGACATGTTTGAATTCGCTGCGTTCCGTCTTAGTAGAGCTAACGAGTGAAAACGTCAGTCAGTGGCAAAATTGAGAACTTGATGGAGAGAATTTACATATTTTAGTACTAAACATGCAGTAGTGAGAATTGAAGCTTGAATAGAAAATGTGCAAACTGAGTCTTGAGGAGCATGGAGATTTATGTAGTGGTGTTTAGAATATGATAAAACTACGATTTTTTAGTTAAACGTTACATCAGCATTGTCATGCGACTTGCTGTTATTCCAAGAGTCCGCGTGATAGTAACAAGGATTCCCGAGAAAATGAAACTGAAATTGCTGACTCATCATTTTCATTTTCATTTGGTTGTTTATCAAGTTATTGTTTTAATCATGCACTACGTAACCTGCGTGCTTGATTAAAATCTGACAAACGTGAGATGCGCTTATTTTAAAACTTCTACCGTCGAAGAATAATTTCGTCAAAGCTTCAGTGATCATTAAGTAAAGCGGATTATGCAGGCTTCATTTAACAAGGCTGGAAATTCAAGAGTTATGGCTAAAAAATTTAGGGAATAAGTTCTGTAGTTAAGGGCTTTTAGCGGAAGAGGGTAATTTTATTGATCACAGAGGAAATGCAGACCATTCTTTACTAAGCCACAATCTGGTTCCCAGTCAGTTTTCTTTCAACGAAACATCAGCTATCAGTAATTACTATCAGTAGTAACTCAGTTCATGGGGAAACATATGAACAGATAAAACGTTATATGGAGTTGAATAAATACTTTAGTGCCCAGTTTGGCGTTAATTATTCCCTTTTCAGGCTCAACAGTTTTTGCATTTGATCTAATTGCAGTTAATATTGAACACGAGGATTGTAAACTGATAGAAACCTGATCTTCTGTCATTTTTCAGTGCTATCTCGCAATCCTTACCAGAATTATGAACTGAAAATAGTTCAAAAGTTGTGGAATTATTTATACCCTGGTAAAACTTTTCAAAGTCTTTTAAAGGCTTGAAAGATTAAAAATTATGAACTTCTTGGGGTCATTAGAAGAGATCGAAGTCATCATTTTTGGACTCTTATGAAACTAACTGATTTATTACAGCTTGCTAAGTGAAAGATGCCGCGGGTGTAAAAGTAAGAGGGAAGGTGCATCACAGTTTTTTTTAAGTGTAGGACCTCTTAAATTCACAAAATTTCCTTTCGAATCATCGATCGGTGATGTTGGCGTTATATCCTCTCAAGGTCCACGAGGACTCGCACTGCACGTTCCCAGACCCTGCATGCTACATGAACCAATATATTTTTTCCAGAAAGGAATGGTTTCCAAACAAAAGCTTCTACGAGAATCCTGATAAACCTGCACTATTACGGGCAAACTTTGCATATTCAATAACTGTTCATGTTAAGATCCTCAAATTCCAGCATGAATATTGCATGGTGCGGGTTTCGATCATTAATTTGGGCGGTTAATTTTCTCGGTTAACTTTGACATGTTGGAGTATGAATGTTTACCAGTTAACAAAAAGGATTGTGAGAAAAACAATTTTTTATGAATCCCTGTCTTAACCTGCTCACAAGTGTTACTTCGCCTGCTGTCATTTCATGCGGATAGAAATTTTACCCGTAGTAACAATTGTCCGATCTGATTGCTTTTGACACAAATCAAATTTTCTTATTAAAAATCTCTTCAGTCTCAAGATACAAAAGATTCTAATCGGCGCTATATTTCAGTGAGATTGTTTTTATTTTTTTTTATTATTATTATTTTTTTTACTAGCGTTTTGTTTGAATATATTAAAGTCACAGTAAACAATTATTCTATGTTTTGTGACCTATTGCCAAGGATACATTGCAATATATTTGCTGTAAGCTTTTCGCAAAATAGTGCGGCTTGTATTAATGGACTGATTTGAAACTGAGAGAGCTTAAGCGACGCACTGAGGTCGACTGAACAATGTGAAAATTTTCGTCATTTTAAAAGTGATTCAGCAAGGGGTTTTGGTGAAAGGTCATTTATTGCTTGGAAGCTGCGGGCATCACGGTACATTCAGGTCAGTTTTTATAGCCAGCGTGATTTAATTTGTATTCAAAGCACGTTTCAGTCAAATGGATGACCTTCAAATCTGCTCATAAGACATTAAGATCGTTCCTATAAAGCTGTCATTTGACAGCTTGCTAATCAAATTCATTTATTGACGATGCAGCAAAGTGGCAATTGACGCCTTGCTGAAGAAACAAATTCTATTTTCAAGGAAACCCCAAATTTGAGTTCAATTTTGATGCATTTCTAGTTTCGATAGTTAAATCAAATACCCTGATTTTAAATGAAGACATTTTACGAGTTATTTATACTTAGAAATATTTTGTGGTCTACTAAATTTGAGAAAATTTGATAAACATTTATTTTTCAACGCGAGATTAAGACGACCTCTGAATCAATTTTTTTAAGTGCAAAAAAATTTGGCAAGCGATGTCGCTCAATATTTGCGGCCGGGTGAATTTCAAAATCTTGCAAGAAGAAGTAGAAATTTAATCAAAATTGGTTACTTGGTGGTTACGTGACCTCGGAGATCAAAGGTGTTTCCTTATTTCAAATAATTTCCAGTTCACATTTACACGAAAAAGAAGAGAGAAAATGAACATCCGAATCAAGTGTTGTTGAAAGCTATCACTCAACAAGAATCTTCATCCTGACCTCATTAGAAATCTTTCATGACCTGATTTACACGCCTTGAAACAAGTTCAATTTGGGTTTTTCCCGCTAATATTTATTTCGCAAGGGAGTTAATGACGTCCGCGTCATGGCTTCAGTTTTACTAAACCGCAAACACGTCCGCAGTTTGGCTCTGATTTCGTAATTATTCCATGTAAAATTACAACGAAATACTGAAATTCATCCAGTGAAAACACATTAAATAATACACCGTAATTCAGTTAAGAAAATAGCAATTTTTTTTTCTTTTTCCCCTGTCTTTGTTTTCTGAACCTGACAAGTCAGTATTCCGTTTTCCAAGAAATTAGCATGATTTTCCCCATGTACTCTTTCTAGTTATTCTTTAACTCAGCGTTTTACCTTTGTACAATACACATGTGGCAAGGCACGTTTTTTTTTCTTTCGCTCTCTCCACAAAAAGAAGCCAATCTTTTTTGTTATCAATGCATGATATAAATGTTCTTGTAATAACCATTCTTTTGTCATCACATTGCATGTGATACAAAACTTATTGATGTGGGATTTTATTGGATAG